GAAGATATTCGCAAATCACGCTACAGACAAAGGGCTGATATCCAAGATCTATAAAGAACTACTCAAACTCAACACACACAAAAACAGATAATCACGTTCAAAAAATGGGCAGAAGACATGAATAGACACTTCTGCAAAGAAGACATACAAATGGGTAACAGACACATGAAAAAATGTTCATCATCATTAGCTATCAGGGAGATTCAAATCAAAACCACACTGAGATACCACCTTACACCAGTTAGAATGGCCAAAATTGATAAGATAGTAAACAACGAGTGTTAGAGAGGATGTGGAGAAAGGGGAACCTTCTTACACTGTTGGTGGGAATGCAAGTTGGTGCAGCCACCTTGGAAAACAGTGTGGAGATTCCTCAAAAAATTAAAAATAGAGCTACCCTATGACCCTGCAATTCCAATACTGGGTATTTACCCCAAAGATACAGATGTAGTGAAAAGAAGGGCCACCTGTACCCCAATGTTCATAGCAGCAATGGCCACAGTCGCCAAACTGGAAAGAACCAAGATGCCCTTCGATGGATGAATAGATAAAGAAGATATGGTCCATTATACAATAGAGTATTATGCCTCCATCATAAAGGATGAATACCCAACTTATGTATCAACATAAACGGGACTAGAAGAGATTATGGTGAGTGAAATAAGTCAAATAGAGAGAGTCAATTATCATATGGTCGCACTTAGTTGTGGCACATAAGGAATAACTCGGAGGACACTGGGAGATGGAGAGGAGAAGTGAGTTGGAGGAAATCGGAGGGGAAGACAAACCATGAGAGACTGTGAACTTTGAGAAACCAACAGGGTTTTGGAGGGGAGAGGGTGGGAGGTTGGGTGGAGCTGCTGGTGGGTATTATGGAGGGCACGTATTGCATGCAACACTGGGTATGGTGCATAAACAATGAATTCTGGAACACTGAAAAAAAAATTAAATTTAAAAAATTTATTATTTATTTATTTGGCAAAGAGAGAGGTCACAAGTAGGCAGAGAGGCAGGCAGAGAGAGAGCGGAAGTAGGCTCCCTGCTGAGCAGAGAGCCTGATGCGGGGCTCGATCCTAGGACCCAGAGATCATGACCTGAGCCGAAGGCAGAGGCCTAACCCACTGAGCCACCCAGGCACCCTTGAACATTTTCTATAAAATGAAGATATATATACCTAATTATACTAGAGGATTTCTGTATGAATAAGAGAAAAAAATATTTAATATAGTAACTAGAATCAGGTAGTTATACAATAAATATTAGGTCTCTGACTATACACACCCCTCCCAAAATAAAAGCACAGTCTATCAAATATGCCCCATGTGAATATTCATTCCCACCTTGTTATGGTCAAAATGAGCAATGACTGAAGTTAAATATTAATTTTAGCATACCGTGTGGAGAAAATAATATGAGAAAACTGTTCATTTTTCTGGTAGCTACTTTCAAGTTATGGTTACTTAAGATTCAAGTTTTGGGTTTTTTTAATTATTTTGTTTTATTTTCCTGTATCTCTACAGTGGACCCATGAACAACACAGGTTTGAACTCTGTAGGTCCACTTATATGTGGATTTTTTACTGTTCATTACTATAAATGCATTTCTCTTATGACTTTTAAGATTTTATTTATTTATTTGAGAGAGAGAGGGAAAAGGGAGAGCACAAGCAGGGAAAGCAGCAAAGGGAGAGGGAGCAGGCTCCCCACTGAGCAGGGAGCTGGATGTGGGCCTCAATCCCAGAACCCTGGGAACATGACCTGAGCTGAAGGCACATGCTTAACCTACTTAACTACCCAGGTGCCCCTCTCTTATGATTTTTGTAACATTTTCTTTTTCCTAGCTAACTTTACTGCAAGAATATAGTGTATAATATATATAGCATACAAAATACGTTACTTGATATAATCAGTCAGGATTCCAGTTGACAGCAGGCTATAAGTAGTTAAGGGGAACCAAAATTTATGTATGAATTTTTGACTGCATGGGAGGTCAGTACTCCCAACCCCTATGTTGTTCAAGGGTCAACAGTACTTTTTTCTTTTTATTACTATTTTATTTTTTTGGTCATTTTTGTACTTTAAGTTCAATTAACATATAATGTACTATTAGTTTCTGATGTAGAGGTCAGTGATTCAACAGTCTTATATAATACCCAGTGCTCATTACATCACAAGGCCTCCTTAATGTCCAGCAACTGGTTATCCCATCCCCCTACCTTCCTTCCCTCCAGAAACCCTCAGTTTACGTCCTATGATTAAGAGTTTGTTTTTTCCCCTCTCTGATTTCATATTATTTTTTCCTCTCTTCCCCTATGATCCTCTGCCTTGTTTATTAAATTCCACATATCAGTGAGATTATATAATTGTCTTTCTCTGATTGACTTATTTCACTTATCATAATACCTTCTAGTTCCATCCAAGACATTGCAAATGGCAAGATTTCAATTTTTTTATTTCTGAGTAGTATTTCATTTTATATACACACATACACACACATACCACATATTCTTTATCCATTTAACCTGTAGATGGACATCAGGGCTCTTTCCATAGTTTGGCTATTGTGGAAATGGCTGCTATAAACATTGGGGTGCATGTGCCCCTTTGGAGTGATACATTTGTATCATTGGGTTACATACCTAGTAATATGACTGCTGCATCATAGGGTAGCTTTATTTTCAACTTTTTGAGGAACCTCCATACTGTTTTCCAAGAGGGCTGGCTCCCCTTTCTCCATATCCTCACCAACACCTGTAGTATCCTAACTTGTTAATTTTAGCCATCCTGGGGTTTCTGGGTGGCTCAGGGGGTTAAGCCTCTGCCTTCAGCTCAGGTCATGATCTCAGGGTCCTGGGATCGAGCCCCACATCAGGCTCTCTGCTCGGCGGGGAGCCTGCTTCTCCCTCCCTTTCTGCCTGCCTCTCTGCCTACTTGTGATCTGTCAAATAAATAAAATATTTTTTAAAAAAATTTTAGCCATCCTTACTGGTGTGCTGTGAGATTCTTAGGTATCTTAAGCATCTTACTCATTGTGGTTTTGATTTGCATTTCCCTGATGATGAGTGATGTTGAACAGTTTTTCATGTGACTGTTGGCCGTTTGTATGTCTTCTTTGGAGAAATGTCTGTTTGTGTTTTCTGCCGATCTGATTGAATTATTTGTTCTTTGGGTGTTGAGTTTGAGAAGCTCTTTATAGATTTTGGATACCAGCCCATTAACTGATAAGACATTGGCAAAGATTGTTCTGCATTCTGTCGGCTGTCTTTTGGTTTTGTCAACTGTTTCCTTTGCTATACAAAGGAAATGATGAAGTCACAATAGTTCATTTTTGCCTTTCTTTCCCTTGCCTTTGGAAACAAATCTAGCAAGAAGTTGTCGCAGCTGAGGTCACAGAGAGTGCTGCCTGTGTTCTCCTCTAGGATTTGGATGGATTCTTGTATCACATTTAGGTCTTTCGTCCATTTTGAGTCTATTTTGTGTATGGTATAAGAAAATGGTCCAGTTTCATTTTTCATGCATGTGGCTGTCCAATTTTCCCAACACCATTTGTTGAAGAGACTATGTTTTTTCCATTGGATATTCTGTCCTGCTTTGTCGAAGATTAGTTAACCATAGAATTGAAGGTCCACTTCTGGGTTATTTTGTTCCATCGATCTATGTGTCTGTTTTTATGCCAGTACCATACTGTCTTGATGATTACGGCTGTGTAATACAGCTTGACGTCTTGAATTGTGATGCCACCAGCTTTGGTTTTCTTTTTCAATATTCTTTGGCTAATCGGGGTCATTTCTGGTTCCATACAAATTTTAGGATTATTTGTTCCAGTTCTGTGAAAAAAGCTGATGGTATTTTGATAGGGATTGTATTGCATGTATAAGTTGCTCTACATAGCAAAAACATTTTAAAAGTATTTGTTCTTCTAATCCATAAGCATGGAAGGTTTTTCCATTTCTTTGTGTCTTCCTCAATTTCTTTGATGAGTATTCCATTAATTTTCTGAGTACAGATCCTTTGCCTCTGTGGTTACGTTTATTCTTAAGTACCTTACAGTTTTTGGTACAATTGTAAGTGGGATTGACTCCTTAATTTCTCTTTCTTCTGTCTCATTGTTAGTGTATAGAAATGCAACTGATTTCTTTGCTTTGATTTTATAGCTTGCCACTTTGCTGAATTCCTAAATGAGTTCTAGCAATTTTTTGGTGGAGTCTTTTGGGTTTTCCATATATAGTATCAAGTCATCTGCAAAGAGTGGGAGTTTGACTTCTTCTATACTGATTCGGATGTCTTTTATTTCTGTTTGTGTCTGATTGCTGAGGTTACGACTTCTAGTACTATGCTGAGCAGCAGTGTTAATAGTGGACATCCCTGCCATGTTTCTGACCTTAGGGAAAAAGCTCTCAGTTTTTCCCCATTGAGAATGATACTCACTGTGGGCTTTTCGTATATGGCTTTCATGATATTGAGTTACATATCCCTATATAACTATATAACTATAACTATATATATATATATATATACACACATATCCCTACCTTGTGAAGAGTTTTAATCAAGAAAGCCACCAAGCCTGGGTGGCTCAGTGGGTTAAGCCACTGCCTTCGGCTCAGGTCATGATCTCGCGGTCCTGGGATCGACCGCATTGGATTCTCTGCTCAGTGGGGAGCCTGCTTCCCTCTTTCTCTCACTCTGCCTGCCTCTCTGCCTACTTGTGATCTCTACCTGTCAAATAAAAAAATAAATAAAATCTTTAAAAAAAAAAAAAAGAAGGAAGCTGTACTTTGTCAAATGCTTTTTCTGCATATACTGAAACGATCATATGGTTCTTGTCCTTTCTTTTATTTATGCAGTGTATCACACTGATTGATATGCGGATGTTGAACCACCCTTGTAGCCGAAGGGGCGGGGGGGTGGGGAACACGTGGTGTAGTGAATAATCCTTTTTTTTTTTTCTTCATGGTTAAGACTGCTTTATTGGTAACAGTTAATATAAGTCAATAAATATTGATCCCCAAATAACTCATTTATTTACAGTTACTGGTCCATAGAGAGCTGAACGAAACTGACCCAACTGCCTGCTGAGATGATAAACTGAAGTCAATCCTGCTTCTTGGGAAATGAAGCCATAGCTAGCTGATATATGGCATATGCTGTTCCACCAACTGTAAGCATCATAGTAGCTCTATACAGGAGGGAATCAGCTACTCCACCCTTTAGATGCACTGGAATTCCATTATCCTCCTGAAACAGCTTTTGTTTCTCTGGAACTTTATTTTCAAACTGCCTACGAGAAGCAGTACTTACGGTCCTCTGGGCAATCTGAGGAAGAGCCAGCAGATTCTGCAGCATCTTGGCTCAGTTAATACCCACCAACCATGACAACCGACCACCAAGAACGAAACTCCCCACACTGGAACCGGAACTCGTGAATAATCCTTTTAATATACTGCTGGATCCTACTGGCTAGTGTCTTTGTGAGAACTTTTACATCCATGCTCATCAGGGATATTGATCTGTAATTCTTTTGGGTGGGGTCTTGGTCTGGTTTTGGGACCAAGGTAATGCTGGCCCGCCTCATGGAAGGAGTGTGAAAGTTTGCCTTCCATGTCTATTTTTTGAAATTGCTTCAGAAGAATAGGTATTAATTCTTTTTTAAATGATTGGTAGAATTCTCCTGGGAAGCCATCTGGCCCTGCACTCTTGTTTGTTGGGAGATTTCTGTTTACTGACTCAATTTCCTTACTGGTTATGGGTCTCTTCAGGTTTTGTCTTCTATTTCTTTCTGTTTCTGTTTTGATGGTTTATATATCTCCAAGAATGCACCCATTTCTTCCAGACTGCCTAATTTGCTGATATAAACTTGCTCATAATATGCTCTTAAAACAGCATTTCCTTGGTGTCGCTTGCGATCTCTCCTCCTTTATTTGGGTCCTTTCTCTTTCCTTTTTTATATGGTTGGCCAGGGGTTTATCAATCTTATCAATTCTTTCAAAGAACCAGCTCCTAGTTTCATTGATCTGTTCTACTATTGTTTTTGTTTCTATTTCATTGATTTCTGCTCTGAAGTTTACTATTTCTCTTCTCTTGCTGGGTTTAGGCTTTATTTGCTGTTCTTTCTCCAGTTCAAGAGTAAGGTTAGGTTGTATATTTGAGCCCTATGTTGCTTCTTGAGAAAGGCTTGTATTGGTATATGCTTCCCTCTTAGGACTGCCTTTGCAGCATCCCAAAGGTTTTGAATAATTGTGTTTTCATTTTCCTTTGTTTCCATGAATTTAAGTCCTTAATTTCCTGGTGGACCCATTCATTCTTTAGTAGGATGCTCTTTAGCCTCCATGTTTTTGACTTCTTTCCAAATTTCCACTTGTGGTTGAGTTCAAGTTTCAAAGCACTGTGGTCCAAAAATATGCAGGGAATGATCCCAAGCTTTTGGTATCAGTTGAGACCTGGTTTGTGACCCAAGACGTGATCTATGGAGAATGTTCCATGTGCACTCGAGAAGAATGTGTATTCCGCTGCTTTGGGATGGAATGTTCTGAATATATCTGTGAAGTCCATCTGGTCCAGTGTGCCATTCAAAGTCTTTGTTTCCTTGTTGATCTTCTGCTTAGATGATCTGTCTATTGCTGTGAGTGGGGTGTTTAAGTCCCATACTATTATTGTATTATTGTTGATGTGTTTCTTTAATTTTGTTATTAACTGGTTTATATAACTGGTTGTTCCCATGTTAGGAGCATAAATACTTAAAACTGTTAGATCTTTTTGGATAGACCCTTTAATTATGATATAGCGTCCTTCCTCATCTCTTATTATAGTCTTTGGTTTAAAATCTAACTTGTCTGATATAAGGATTGCAACCCTAGCTTTCTTTTCATGTCCATTAGCATGATAAGTGGTTTTCTACCCCCTCACATTCAATCTGGAGGTATTTTGGGGTCTAAAATGAGTCTCCTTCAGAAAGTATTATCAGTGGGTCTTGCTTTTTTTATCTAATCTCCATACCCTGTGTCTTTTGATAGGGGCATTAACCCACTTACATTCAGAGTAACTATTGAAAGATTTGAATTTAGTACCATTGTATTACCATTAAAGTCACTGTTTCTGTAAACTGTCTCTATTGCTTCCTGGTCTCTATTACTTTTGAGCTCTCTCTTCACTTAAAGGATCTCTTAATATTTCCTGCAGGGCTGGTTTAGTGATCAGAAATTCTTTTAGTTTCTGTTTTTCCTGAAACTTTTTAAAATCTCTCCTTCTGTTCTGAATGACATCCAAGCTGGATAAAGTACTCTTGGGTAGTTATTTTTTTCATTTAGCATCCTAAATATATCATGCCAGTCTTTTCTGGCCTGCCAATTCTCTGTGGATATGTCTTCTGCCAGAGTAATGTTTCCACCCTTGTAGGTTACAGATGTCTTGCCCCGAGCTGCTTTCAGGATTATCTCTTTGACTCATAGCTATGCAAGCTTCACTATTATATGTTGGTGTGTTAATCTATTTTTATTGATTTTTGAGGGGAGTTCTCCGTGCCTCCTGGACTTGAATGCCTGTTTCCTTCCCCAGATTAGGGAAGTTCTCCACTACAATATGTACCAATATAACTTCTGCCCCTGTCTCTCTCTTTCCTCTTCTTCTGGGATACCAATTATTCTAATATTATTTTGCTTTATGATACCACTTATCTCTCAAATTCTTCCCTCATGATCCAGTAGTTGTTTATCTGTTATTTTTCTCAGCTTCCTTATTCTTCATCATTTTATCTTCTATATCACTAATTCTCTCTTCTGTCTCATTTATCCTAGCAGTTAGAGCCTCCACTTTTTATTGTATCTCATTAATAAGCTTTTTTAGTGCAACCTGATTAGATTTTAGGTCTTTTATTTCTCTAGAAAGGGAGTCTCTAGTGTTCTCTATGTTCTACTCAAGCCCAGCTAGTGTCTTTTTATAGTTATTATTCTGAACTCTAGTTCTGACATCTTACTTATATCCACACTGTTTAGGTCACTGGAATTTCAGTACTGCCTCTTGTTCTTTTTTTTGAGGTGAGTTTTTTGGTCTTATCATTCTTGCTGAAAAGAACAGATGAACAAGAGAACAAAATACTAAAATGGCAACAACAGCCCCAGAGAAATATACTAAACAAATCAGAAGAGACCCAAAACTGGGGGGAAAAAAAGAAAGAGAGAAAGAGAGAGATAATCAGAAAGGTGAACAGAACAATATACTGGATCCTGTGTGTATTTTTGCTTGCTTCATAGAAAACTAGATCCCTTGGGGCTCCTGGGTGGCTCGATTGGTTAAGCCACTGCCTTTGGCTCAGGTCGCAATCCCAGGGTCCTGGAATCAAGCCCTGAGCAGGCAGCTTGCTTCTCCTTCTTCCCTGTGCTCTCTCTCTCTCTCTCAAATAAATAAATGCTTACGAAAGAAAGAAAGAAAAAGACAGACTGGATCCCAAAATTGTAACAGAAGAAAAACTTACCTACATACAAAAGTAAAATTAAATACAATGAAAGAATAGAATGCAACTGTACAAATTAAAATTAAAAGACAAAAAACAAAAAAAAAGAAAAAAGGAGGAATATAAACAGGTGAACAGAACAGAGCAATACACTATATCCTAGGTGTACTGTGGTCTGTTTGTTAGAAGAAAGTACAACAAATATGGTGTAAAAAAAAAAAAGTGCAAAAACACAAATATGTTGTTAAAAAAAGTGTAAAAAAAAGTGCAAATACGCACTAAACCAAAATTGTAAAGAAAAACTTATATATAAAATACATTGAAAGGATAGAATTTTATTGTAAAGATGAAAATTTAAAAAGATTTTAGCAAAGAAAAAGAAGGAAAAGGAGAGAAGAAAGGAGAGAATATGATCAGACGAGTGAAAAGAACAGAGCAATACACTAGATTCTGCATGTATTTTGGTCTGTTAGAAGAAACTGTGTCCCAAAACTGTAAAGAAAAAAACTTATGTATATACAAAAATAAAATTAAAGAAAATGATAGAATGTAACTGTAAAAATGAAAATTAAAAAAGATTTTTTAAAAAGTTGATAAAATAGGAAATTGACTGAAAAAGGAAAAAGGAAAAAAATATATAAATTAAAAGACTAAGGAACCAGGGGGAAAAAAACATTAATTCTATATACTATTTTCCCCTAGTGCTGGAGTTTTGCAGTTTTGCAAGTTCAGTAAAGTTGGTCTTAGAGGCATGTTCCTGCTGATCTTCTGGGGGTGGGGCCTTTTGCCCTGATTCTCAGGTGTCTTTGGCCGGAGTGGAACTGCAACCACTCTTGCCAGGGGGCAGACTAAGTAAGCAGCTCTGGATTGCTCAACCTGGCTTTTGTTCCCTGAACGCCCCACTCCTCAGTGAACCTTCAGGGAAAAGCAATCAATCACTCCTGTCTCCCTGGACTCTGTACTCACCCAGACTGTGACCTAGCAGGCATGCGACCCCGTTTCTCAGGCACGCAACCCAGTTTTAAGTCTCCAAACCCTACAGACTCCTGCAGTGTGCACCTGAGCCACTCCTCTCAAGGGAGGAAGGAGTTTCTCGCCGGTTCTGCCACTTGCTGGGCCCCTGCTCAGAGAGCAGTCAGCTGACTGTGCCACAGTTCACAGTTTATGGCAACTCCAACCTGAAAGCCCACTCCTGGTTTGGCAGATTGTAGCTAGCTTCCTCACTCTGACGCCTGGGAGCTCTGCCACACTCAGTCACCCTCAGTCTTATTATGACCCTGGGGATCCTGAAACCACACTGTCCCACCTAGGACTTTGAACTGCTTCACCACCTGAGTGTTTTTCAGGCAGGGACATCTCTCATTGGAGCAGACTTCTAAAAGTTTTGATTTTGACGTCCACTACTTGATCACTTTCCAATGCCAGCTTATGGAGCTTCCTCCCCACCGTGGTTTATCTTCCCATACATCACCTCGGAGTCACTTCTCTGCACCTCCTACCTTGCAGAAAGTGGTCACTTTTCTATTCATAGAGTTGTAGCTATTCTTTTCTTAGAACTCTGGTTGACCTTGCAAGAGTTCAGAATGATTTGATAGCTATATAGCTGAATTCCTGGGACCTGACAAAACTAAGGTCTCCTACTCTTCTACCATCTTGGACTCCTCACGCAGTTTTGTTTTCTTTAAAGATTTATTTATTTGAGAGAGAAGAGAGAGAGAACAAGAGCATGAGTTGGGAGAGGGGCAGGGAGAGAATCTTCAAGCAGACTCCCTGCTGAGCACAGAGCCCTATTCGGGGCTCCATCCCCTGACCCATGAGATCATGACCTAAGCCAAAACCAAGAGTCAGACACTTTACTGACTGAGCCACCCAGGCACCCCATGATTTAAGTTTTTAAATGAAGCAAGTTACCTTCATTTGGTCTGACAGTAAAG